AACAAATTATGTCAAATTATGTCAAATTATTATGTCAAATTATGTCAAATTGTTATAATTTTATATTAGCACATAGTGTCAGTGATGAACAAAAATACAGTGGGGTCCAAAAGTCCTAAACAACATTGAAAAACTGGGATTCAAAATTGAATTTAACTTGGAAATTTGGATGTATTCAGTTTTTAAACATAAGACATGTTATCACATTGAACAAGAAATATTTAAGAATCTGCACCTTTCTTCAATAATCAAATAAGCAAATGTGTTTAATGCTCTTTGGAACTTTGAAGCATTTTAAAGTCATGCTGGATAACTTGAGGTTTTGTTTAGCTTGAGTCATTAAAGCAAAAGGGAGACACCAAATACTTTTTTAAATAAAACCCTTCACTCATTACAGAATATACAGAAGCATTTTCACTAGTGGTCTCAGATTTTTGAACCCCACTGAATATATTAGCTCTGTTCCAACGGCTAGTGAGCAGCCTGCATATGACAGTTTAAGACATCACATACAAGTATGCTATTTAATACCGAAATATATCTAGAAAATGATGTAGCTGTAGACTGTTTACTTAATATTTGCGCTTGCTATGTACTTTCAAGCTTATTAGAGTAGTTAGCTTAGCAATATGCTAATATCAAATACATTTGAAATCAGATGTAAATCAAATCTCCTGCAAACTTTGCGTGAGGAGCGCTTTTTGTATAATGTTGGGTATTAAATTATATATTATGTTGTATTTATTGGCTGCCTTTGTGCAGTGTTCCAAATTAGGAACTTAAGAGGTTCCACTGTAGTTTGGATGCTGCCTATATTGGTAGTATAGATTCTAATAATAATTGTGTCCCAAATTACACACTGTACACTATGTATCTAGTGTTTGAATTATATAAGGTTATTTTGTCACCCCTCCATTATGTAAGTAAAGCTGTGACAGTTGAGTGCATGAAGTGTCCAAGTGTACACATTTTTTTTTTTTTTTTGGTTATTTAAGTGTATGTTCCAGGAATTTGAAATGCACTTTTTCTTTTTGATAATTTAATGTATACACACTATTCATACTAAATAAATGACATAGAATAGTGCACAAGTATGTGAATTGGGACGCACCTATAGTTTTGGAACAGAGCTAATATACACATATATTATACTGTATAGCAGATAGATTATTGCATAATCTGCGTAAGACTTAATATTGAATGTTAATAAGTTGCTGGACTGTATGGACACCGAATCACACATCAGTAAGTAAGTAAGTTAAATCAGTATCTGATGTTTGCTGTAGAACATTTTGCCTGAGGATGCATGTTTTTACCAGCATCATGTAGCATTTTACTGTTTTGACGTGTTCTAGTAAGCACTGCATGTTCATAGTTTTGTTTTTCTTTTTTAACAATATTTTTGCATGGATAATTGAGTAGTAATACTAATTGCGGTGAGTGAGTTGTTGTGTGTGTGTGTGTGTATGATGTGTACCTCTCTCACTCCAAAACCTAGATCTCTCTGATTATCGCCTGTATAATCGGTGTGATTGCGTACCGTCTGGCGGTGTTTGCGGCGTTTGCCAGCATCATGAAGGACAGCCCCACCAATAAGCTGGATGTGGTGGGAACCCTCATCACGCCGCAGTTCGCCACATCCGTCACGGCTTCCTGCATCAACTTTGTCATCATCATGATTCTCAACTTCCTGTATGAGCGCGTAGCCATAAAGATCACTGATATGGGTGAGTCTTTAGCAAGTATATGGGACTCCCAGCCTCTTTTTCCCACCTAAAACCTTTAAAAATATTTTAAATTTAAAGTGATGTAACTTCAATAAATACAATAACTAAAAAAAAACGACATAAGGTTATTATTATTGTTGTTGTTTTATTTTAAAACTATTCTTTTATTTAATTCATTGCGTTTATTTGACCTTGGCACTTTCTAATTTCCGATTTGTGAATGGATCATTCTGATTTGTTCCAGTCGATTCATTTTGTGTTCTATATCTTGTAATAAACAAAAAGAGAAACAATTGTATATTGTTCAATTAATAAAGTATTTCCATAATGTAAGGATTTTTGTGCGCTGATTTTTATTCACTTCTTCTTCTGTCCACAGAGGTTCCCAAAACCCATGTGGAGTACGAGAACAAGCTAACGGTGAAGATGTTCCTCTTCCAGTTTGTCAACTACTATTCCTCTTGCTTCTACGTCGCCTTTTTCAAGGGCAAGTTTGTGGGTTACCCTGGAGACTATGCCTACATGTTCGGCAAGTGGAGAAATGAAGAGGTAGACCCGAGATCCCATGAGCCTGATTAAAGTTTTACAGTTTTTCCCCATGCCATTATTTTACTGTTTAAACCATTGTTAGTGCCAATGGTTCTCTAATTTATATTAATTGAGTATAGAGTTTAAGGATAATAGTAAATACATTAAGGAAAATGTATATCATCGTTTAATATTATACTCATTAGTAGATCAGTTTTAAAGGTGCTGTATGTAAGTTTTTGACTCTACTAAAGCATAAAAATACCATAATATGTTTGCAGATATTTAAGAAACATGCTAAGTTAACATACTTGTTTATCTGAAAAACAATGCTACAGTCAGTTATTCTCCTTTGAAAATGTGTGTTCTGTGTCGGAATGTCTGTCTTTGTTTTGGTCTGTGTGACTCCGCCCACTGCGGGTTTACCCAATTGTATTTCCGGGTTGCCAGTTGGCGGAAAACACAGCGTATATCATTTCATTCATCGTCAAGTGCGCTCGTTCCTGTTGGTGTCGTCAATCTGGCAACCTGCGTGTGCGTCAAGTCTGAGGAGGAGGGGCCGGGTGAAAAAAACCCTCTCCAATATGTTGAATTTGGACTGCAATACCTAGTTCAACCACTCGGTGTCAATCCTACATACAGCACCTCTAAGTATTGTTTATTTCTGAACATCACAATTGTGTTTGCAGTGCGAGCCAGGCGGCTGTTTGATCGAGTTAACCACTCAGTTAGTGATCGTGATGGTGGGTAAACAGGTGTGGGGGAACATACAGGAAGCTCTCGTCCCGTAAGTCCACATGACATGACGTAATCACACAAGACTCTCGTTATCTGTTGCATGACCAGGGTATATTCTTAATGTTGTGCCTGTTTTGATGATAGTAAACCCAAGAACATTTTGCCTGAGGATGCATGTTTTTACCAGCATCATGTAGCATTTTACTGTTTTGACGTGTTCTAGTAAGCACTGCATGTTCATAGTTTTGTTTTTCTTTTTTAACAATATTTTTGCATGGATAATTGAGTAGTAATACTAATTGCGGTGAGTGAGTTGTTGTGTGTGTGTGTGTGTATGATGTGTACCTCTCTCACTCCAAAACCTAGATCTCTCTGATTATCGCCTGTATAATCGGTGTGATTGCGTACCGTCTGGCGGTGTTTGCGGCGTTTGCCAGCATCATGAAGGACAGCCCCACCAATAAGCTGGATGTGGTGGGAACCCTCATCACGCCGCAGTTCGCCACATCCGTCACGGCTTCCTGCATCAACTTTGTCATCATCATGATTCTCAACTTCCTGTATGAGCGCGTAGCCATAAAGATCACTGATATGGGTGAGTCTTTAGCAAGTATATGGGACTCCCAGCCTCTTTTTCCCACCTAAAACCTTTAAAAATATTTTAAATTTAAAGTGATGTAACTTCAATAAATACAATAACTAAAAAAAAACGACATAAGGTTATTATTATTGTTGTTGTTTTATTTTAAAACTATTCTTTTATTTAATTCATTGCGTTTATTTGACCTTGGCACTTTCTAATTTCCGATTTGTGAATGGATCATTCTGATTTGTTCCAGTCGATTCATTTTGTGTTCTATATCTTGTAATAAACAAAAAGAGAAACAATTGTATATTGTTCAATTAATAAAGTATTTCCATAATGTAAGGATTTTTGTGCACTGATTTTTATTCACTTCTTCTTCTGTCCACAGAGGTTCCCAAAACCCATGTGGAGTACGAGAACAAGCTAACGGTGAAGATGTTCCTCTTCCAGTTTGTCAACTACTATTCCTCTTGCTTCTACGTCGCCTTTTTCAAGGGCAAGTTTGTGGGTTACCCTGGAGACTATGCCTACATGTTCGGCAAGTGGAGAAATGAAGAGGTAGACCCGAGATCCCATGAGCCTGATTAAAGTTTTACAGTTTTTCCCCATGCCATTATTTTACTGTTTAAACCATTGTTAGTGCCAATGGTTCTCTAATTTATATTAATTGAGTATAGAGTTTAAGGATAATAGTAAATACATTAAGGAAAATGTATATCATCGTTTAATATTATACTCATTAGTAGATCAGTTTTAAAGGTGCTGTATGTAAGTTTTTGACTCTACTAAAGCATAAAAATACCATAATATGTTTGCAGATATTTAAGAAACATGCTAAGTTAACATACTTGTTTATCTGAAAAACAATGCTACAGTCAGTTATTCTCCTTTGAAAATGTGTGTTCTGTGTCGGAATGTCTGTCTTTGTTTTGGTCTGTGTGACTCCGCCCACTGCGGGTTTACCCAATTGTATTTCCGGGTTGCCAGTTGGCGGAAAACACAGCGTATTTCATTCATCGTCAAGTGCGCTCGTTCCTGTTGGTGTCGTCAATCTGGCAACCTGCGTGTGCGTCAAGTCTGAGGAGGAGGGGCCGGGTGAAAAAAACCCTCTCCAATATGTTGAATTTGGACTGCAATACCTAGTTCAACCACTCGGTGTCAATCCTACATACAGCACCTCTAAGTATTGTTTATTTCTGAACATCACAATTGTGGTTGCAGTGCGAGCCAGGCGGCTGTTTGATCGAGTTAACCACTCAGTTAGCGATCGTGATGGTGGGTAAACAGGTGTGGGGGAACATACAGGAAGCTCTCGTCCCGTAAGTCCACATGACATGACGTAATCACATAAGACTCTCGTTATCTGTTGCATGACCAGGGTATATTCTTAATGTTGTGCCTGTTTTGATGATAGTAAACCCGAGAATATTAATGATTCAGATCCACTTAAGATGTGTTCCTGTGCATGTTCATGTGTTGTGTATGTATTGTTAGTGGGTGGTGTTTTATATATCTCTATGTCTGTGTGTAGCTGGCTGTGTAACTGGTGGGTGAGCAGAAGCGCTCGTAATCATCCGGAGAGTCTGTACAGCCGCTGGGAGCAGGATCATGACCTGCAGACCTTCAGTCAGCTCGGCCTCTTCTACGAGTACCTGGAGATGGGTGAGTGTCCGGCAGCTACAGTACATCTGTGCTGAAAAATATTTAACTACATCATCATAGAATATATAACATATGATATATAACAGGTAGTATATATAAATATTAAAATCAATATAGTATTTTAAATTATTACACGGCTCTCTGGAATACTTTGTACTTGATCTTTTTGTGGTTTCTACAGGAAAGCTAATAATTTCAGGTCAAATCAATATTTCATGCCCATTTACTTGTTACATGTTGCTGTGTAATGAGCCGGCTTTGTGCTGGGGTCCTGATCACTAGGGCTGTGTATCACCAGCAAAGTCACGATACGATACGTTCTACTCAATTTTAAACGTTGTAAAATTGTAAAAAAAATTAAGCATGGTCCACTGCTGCACACGTGCCACAATATCGATACAGGGCCAGCTGTATCGATACTCGTATCGTCAAATCTCTGTGACGAATCTGACGATACATCGTCGTATCGATATTTTGAACACAGCACTACTGATCACCCTATCAGGGCTTATTATTTTGCAATTAAAAAAATGGCTGACTGTACAAACCCTTTACATCCGCTTCATTCAAGGGCTTTTCTCAGGAAATATTGTGCAAATTTTTTTTTTTCATTTTGAAATTTTTTTTTTCAATTGAAAGCTCTGGTTCAAATTTTAATCTGTCACCCTAATTGAGATCCTTGTTGTGTTTGTGCCCAATTAATACTGCTCAGATTTTGAAGTAAGTTATGATCTGGTCTAGACTTAGGTCTGGGTCGATGCCATAGAAGAAAAGGCTGTGAGGGATGAACTTGCTGTCTTTGCAGTGGCATGCACTGGTCTTAGTTTTCAAAGTTTTATGGACTTTTTGTCTATTGAACGTTTTTTGGAAAGATGTCAGCTGATCAATTGGCATTTTGTTAATTTTGTTTAATCTTAGTTGTTAATCTTGTAAAACTTTTAGGGTTGCTAATTACTTCATAAAAATAATTTTTAATGTAGCTTAACTACTTTAAATCATAAATAGCTTGTAATGACTACAGTTTCAAAGTAGCTTCCCTTACAGTGATTTACTTTAACTCACCAATACGGAGCCCCAGACATGACATGCAGGAAAAAAAAAAATTATATCATGGCCACGAATTAACAATTAGTTCCCACGACTTACTGATTCATCACCTCCTTTTAAGGAAATCGTGAGCATGACTTACTAATTTGTTACCTTATTTTAAGTACATCATGTGCACGATGTACTAATCGGTTCTGTTCGTTGTATGATTTGTGAATAGCCAATTACAGCCTCTTTGTTTCCAGAACACGACACACACGTCTCCCGGAAATCCTGTAGAATTCAACCAATCAGATGATGACTTTGAAAGTGTTTCCAATTTTGTGTGTCATATACGTCAGACGTTCAGCCTACAGTCGGTGGGCGTGACGTCTGAGGCTGAGACTAGTAAACATATGCACAAATTCACTGAAATGAGGTAACGAATTAGTGAAACGTGTGCATGATTTACTTAAAACAAGGGAATGAATTAGTAAATCGTGCTGGTGTATTAATAAGTCATGGGAACATATTGTAAATTTGTGGCCATGATATAATTTTTTTCTTTCCCGCTTGTCATGTCTGGGGCTTCGTACACCTGCAAACTTCTATATGAACAAACTTTCAGCCTCCAATAACTCCAATAACAGACAGATGGCACTGTAGCTCATCTTTATGTGGAGAAACATTTCATCTCGTCTTTGTTTTGCAGTTATCCAGTTTGGCTTCATCACCCTGTTTGTGGCTTCTTTCCCACTGGCTCCTCTGCTGGCTCTGATGAATAATATCTTGGAAGTGCGAGTGGACGCCTGGAAATTCACCACTCAGTTCCGCCGGCCCGTGGCAGCCAAAGCGCACAGCATCGGCGCGTGGGACGAGATCCTCAACATGATTGCCGTTTTCTCAGTGGTCACGAATGTGAGTCTGTATGAGATTAAACTCAAAAGTCATAATGAGTCAGGATCCACTTTGACTACATCAGAGTTGGTTGAACGATTCAAACTGATGGATCAGTGAGTCATTTTGACTGATTCATTAACAAGAGCCAGCTAAAAGGAATCATTGGTACACCTACATCTTGATTATATTATTTGCATATAGCCTGTCGTCAACTTTCATTTGCTTATAAACTGGTAATGAAGCATACCGTGAACAGAAATATCAAAGTAGGTCATGTAACGGCATTAAATGTCATTTATTTGTCCTTCAGGCTTTCATTGTCTCATTCACGTCTGACATGATCCCTCGGCTGGTGTATAAGTACGCGTATCACCTGGGTTCTGAGAGCACGATGGAAGGATACATCAGCAACAGCCTTTCCATCTTCAACATCTCCGAGATCCCAGTGGAAAACCGTCCAGAGGAGGGCGAGAACCCGGATTGGTTCTACAGCTCCAACATCACCACCTGCAGGTACTGTTGTGTATGCTTGTGCTGTATCTCTTTATTGATAGATTTGTGCTAACGCTGAGAAGCGTGTCATAAACATGAATGCTGTGTGGATGCTGTAGGTACCGTGACTACCGCTACCCTCCAGGACACGAGAAACAGTACACTCATACCATGCAGTTCTGGCACATTCTCGCTGCCAAATTAGCCTTTATCATCATTATGGAGGTATGAGCTCTTAAATTGTCTTCTTTCCTGTGTCACAAATAACTACACTTTTGCATACTTCTAAAAAGAGTACTTATCATGGAAAAAAATAACTTAGGGTTAGAATAATAAACTGAATGTAATGTTTCCAGACACATATCTGCATGTTAATTGCATAAATGTAATTATGGTTTAAATTTAAAATAAATGCATTTAGCTGAACTTGACCCTCTTAAGTATGGCAGACATCTTTATATGTATTTTCACTTCTATTGTCTTTGAAATATGGTTGAATATACTGACGAGCCTTTATGGTGAACCAAAACATACTTAAATATCATTTCTGTTGACTTTTTATGTCATATATTTAAACTTATTTGTAATTACACATTTGTAATGCTAGTTCTAATTTAGTACATTTAAAATATGGTAACTTTAAATGTAATCAAATAACACACTACAGTTAAAATTAAAATCAAGTTCACGTGTGCTTTATCAACATGACAAAATAAGTGTTCCTGAAAGCATGATAAATTACTTTTACAAAGTGAATGTTTTAAAATTGAACTTAATTTAAAATTGAAATTGAGTGTGTTAAGAGACAGTCATTGTTAAGTACACTTAAGTGGTCTTTAATTTTATTAATATTATATTATCTGCAAGTAGTTGTTTGAAGTACACTACAAGTGCACATTCAGTACATTTGAACACTTGCGCACTTACGTTGAGCAGTTCTTTTCCACAAGGCTGAACCAGCTAAGTTTTTAAATATGCTAATTGTAACATTGTTAAGTGTAATGATAAAGTCAGGTAACTATTTGTTAAGGTCCATTTGCACCACGATGAATCAAAACAACATATATTTCACAGACAGACATTCACACCACAGATATTCACACTCTGAGCATCACAGGTTTTTACAGAGAAACGTTTGCACTAGAAATGTGAAATACAATCCTGCCATTCATTAGTAGACTGCAGCTGTTTATAAAAAATATCTACCAACATGATGCAAAGATGCTTCTTGATTGTACATCAAATGTTCTCACTCATTATGAAAGGGTCCACTGAGATTGAACTGTTTGGTTTCTAATTCCGTCACAGCAAAAATGCTTGGTCTCATTAGGCAGTTACCTGCTGTCAAATTAATAGCAATTTAGTCTAATTATTAAAAAAAAAATAATGTGATAAAATATTAATTAAATCTAAAATTATTACAGGATGTAATATTTAATCTAAAATTAAATATTACATCCTGACACGTTGCTTCATTCATTCTATGAATGTATCAGCTTATAATAATTTGATTGTTGATTTGACATGGCTAATAAATGTATGTCATCAGTACTGA